AGTCGCTTTGGTCACCAATATAAACGGTTGGTACCGGCTGGCGAGTTCATGTCATGAAATAGTAATTGTATACACTCACAGCGCCCCGAGCTCGGGTAGCGAGAGATCTACTCCTTAAGAACTATTGAGAATGCATTGTTCTATTGTCAATTGATCCCACAACGTTGTGATATAATTTTACCATCAATGTTGTCATCGAATGATGAATGCGCAATGAATCTACTTGAACCTCGAAGGCAGCTATTGCGTTTTACGGCAATGGACCCTACCACTGAGAAGTGCGGATACTCGAAAAGCCCAGAATGCGAAAAGTTTGGCACCAACTAACAGAGATCGGATAAATTTTCTCTATTCTTTGCTGAGAAATTATACGCGAGCTACATGGGCTTGATGAAGGAGAGAGAGTACACCCTACCACTTGGTCACGACATTCAGCATTCAGCAAAGCTGACACTTGTGCGTGCTTATAATACTAGATGTGCAGCGAGAGCTCCGGTGCAAATGGCACTTCTTCGAAAGAACATGCTGGACTTTGCTTATCGTCATAGACCTGGTTGATGGATGGTTTTAGCTGCGGTGACTGATCCAAAGGGTTTTCTTTTAAAAAATGTCATTTGTGCAGTTGGTGCTTTTTTAGTACTCGTTACGGCCACTCTCGGGTGACCAGCTATTCGAGTCGCTTTGTGGCTATGCAGAAACGATTTATTTGCTCGTATCTGCGCAGAACACGTGATGTCCGATGTGGAGAGAGTGAATTAATAGTTGCGAGTAATGCTCGAGTGTATGCGCTCAAATCGGCTTATGCAAATGTGGCAAGTACATCGTTGGAGTCGATGAGACGCCGTTTCCGAGAAAATTCACTGGAAAGCATGGCCTCATCACTAATAAAGCTATAGATGGCTAGTGTCTCTGTTACAAAAAAGTGACGAAGTGGCTAGCCTAGCGGACTTTGCGCATTTGTAGCTCGATACAAGCCGCCCCTTCACCATTCTGCTAGAGTTGATTGTCAAATGATATTGAAATGCGTAATGAGAGACGATCTATAAGAATTTGTATGACCCCCTGAATCTGATCCCTCAAATTCAAGTATGCCTGTTCATGTCGTATGTGGCGCTTTAACCTTTACCACAGTCCGTTCTTTTCTTCAGGATTATGCGTATCGGCGTTACATGCGAAAACCCCACTCATGACAAAGAGCTACTCGCGATGAACGGAACATTTTACATTTATTTGCCGAGTATATACCTTTCATTCACGACATATTAAGCTGGCTTAATGCGGCAGTGAGTGCACTTTTGTCTTGCTCTGTATTGAGCTGTCAGGAATCATGTCGGTCAAGTCACCAGATGATGAGTTGATTCATACATCTCTTGGGTCGGTCGCAACATGTGTTGTGATACTGAGAGCTTTAAAACAAGAAGTTTGGAGCATCAGTACCTGTTCTTTTAAAGCGATTGGTCACATTTTTCATCAACTCAAAGTTTGCTTTGATAGCGCACCGATCCACTTGATACTCAACCATCATGGTACCTTATGAATTGGACACCAATACTGTATTTTTGCTTTAAGTGGCCACTGCCGGCATTGCAATTTATATTTGTTCCCCAAATAACAAGCCCGCTGATATGGGTATTGTCCACCTTGAAGACAACCCGAGAAAGATGCCTCCCATCGCTGCAGTTAGCGATACTGTACCCGGTGGAGACATAGCGACGCTGCTCATCGGCAAAACGTTTCGCTGACATGACTTTTATCCATTGCATCGAATAGAGCCCCGCGATTTCCAGCAGAATTTGGTTGACTTTGCTGAAGTTTATAGGCACCAGATAGAATGTGGCGGCCGTTTTTCACCGTTTTCAGTCGGATAGCATAGTCGAAGATCATCCGCCCAAGGATTCGCGCAAAAACACCGCTGTGCTAAAGAGGTTCCCCACTGATTTAGTTTGCACTTCAGATGTTACTATATTTTTAGCAAATAGGTTGATTATTTTGGGGTTTTCGCCACCGCCACGAACAGTCTTTAGTCTTGGCAAGGCTGGGGCGGCTGTCGACAAGTTGCTATCAGCTCGGCTAAACTCCGCAACAAAACCGCATATTAATTTCAATGACACACCGAGTGCGCAACAGAGGCGTACAAAAACACAAGGTTTTTCAGAGAAAAAACTATGCATACGAATGAAGCAGACTTACCTATCCGTGCAGCCTCTGCGGTCAAAACGAGCTAGCTATGCCTTTGCAACACCGGACCGCTCACGAACGTAAGAAAGAAGAAAATATTTTTTCCTGATATCTTTCAAAAGACGTGAGCACTTTCCATCTTCTACAAAGGCGTACTAAATTCACACCAGAATTTCGCCATCACGAACTTGTCGGGTGTGAAGAAGATATCTGTCGCACTGGGAGTAACGTCTCTACTCCTCCATGTTGTTGAGCTGTTATTTCTCAGAAGAATCGACGCAGCTTGAAACTACTGGGAGGCGCCTCAAGCCGGGCAGTACGATGGCGAAGAATAAAATAGCAAATCCGATATCAAACTCATTAATGCTTCGTACGAACGCCGTGACTCTCGGGGAGAGAGCTGACGTGTCGCCACAACAAAGAGGCCTCATATGAGATAACCAGGACTTGTCGTCCGCGACATGCTCGATGAGCAAAGAGCGGCCTGCTTTTACGTGGAATCATTGTTGAATCGGCGGCCACATCCGAACTGTTGTCAGGACCTGGCAAAATGAAAGTCTTATAGCTCGTATCATAACGAGATTTCATGTGACACGATTTTTAACAGGTGCCTTGATCGCTCACGACCCGGTGCACCGTTTGCGCCCATGTCCATTTGAGCAGTGACAGGATCGCTCTTCGTAGCGATCTTTCCTCAAGTAAGTATCGACTGACCTTGCCATGGGATATTTCTAGCTCGATTACTGGTTTTAGCTATATCATAAAGGCGAGCTAGCTGGAAACAGCATACGATTTGTGGTAGTTTGCCATTTCGACGCTCGCGTCATATTCTTATTTTCAAAGGCAAGCATCAGACGACGCTTTAGTGGGCGACACTTGCAGCGGGGGTGTCGTAGCTTAGCGCTTGAGGATTTTGGTCACCGACCTTTCGTTCTATCCTTAGAGCAAATACGAGTTAGCGGATCGCAATCCGCTTACTCCAAGAGTAATTATTGCCTCCCAAGGCTAATTGACTCTTCGGTTTAAGCTCCAAAACAGATTTTTATTTATTTTCTATCCTAATTTTAATGTTTAGATTCTCCTAAATTTACTAAATATGTATAGTAAAATCTAAATACATGCATAGCTACTGGCTACCTAGCCACATAACGCATTCTTGTTTGGGTGCAGTCACACCATGCACATCTCATATGACACACACTCCTGCTACCAGGGTACGTGTAACCCCGTTACAACCCTAGAAAAGAATCAGCGTGACTCAGCGAGCGAGTTGGCCCCCTTGAGCCTGGACCAGTTCGTTGGTGACGAACCGGCATCGTCGAGAGTTCTCAGGCGAAAAGCCATTAAATCAAGACACGAGTGTTCTTACAGTAAAGATCAGTTAATAATCGGGTAAAATATGTAGTAAAATGAATCCTAATGACGTGTCACTTTTAAAATAGCAAGGTAACCTGGACTGCTAGATGCGGAAGAGCTCTCAGCTCCGTTTCAACGATAAAGAGCGCAAAGTCAGGCTCTGTGAATTTGCTAAACCAACTCTTGAGTCGAAGCGTTGCAATGAGTCATTAATTACTCACTTGAATTGAAATAAGTGTAGAATCAAGTGTAATTTACACGGATTCCTCATACTAATTAAGTACGAATCATGTCAGTGCTCCGATAAGACTTTGCATAATAGTGTAATATATACACGCACCATTATGTGCTAAGATCCGACTCACAGAAAAATTCAAGCTTCAGTTGCGATATAAAGCATATGACCTGCCACAGAATCTATGGAGCTGTTGTAAAAATACAGTTAACAACACTTATTCATGTTAATAGCACTAAAAACTGGATATCCTACTATCTAGGTTGGGTTATTACAAACGTATAAAAGAACCAGACCAGTATTTCTGGCGCTTTATGCACACGCCAGGTGTTTTTGAGACCATCTTCCATGATTAGAAAAGCTCAAATTGTATAAGAACATCTGTCCGAATACCCATCCGTAAGTAAAGTACGAAGTACGTACTTCTACCGGGCCAGAGGGATAGTACCAAACGCTTTTACTGTCACTAGTCATTTTACCGTGCTTACCCAGTATTCCAAAATGCACCTAACTACTTTTCTATTTGGTGCAGTCGCTGTGCTCGCAACAGTTCGTGTTGATGCCTATTCTTTCGACTTAGACGAAGATGATGACAAAAACAAGCTGATCGACTCGGATGATGACAAAATCGACTACCTTGACTCGAAAGATGATATCAAAAGTGGCAAATCAACTAACCCATACGTGGATGACACTCCTGACTCGATAGACCTACAGTCTGATCCATCCCAAATTGTTTTTCTTGGTGCAGACTCTGTTCATCCATTCCCCAGGACTAAGGCTCGTACTTCATCTCAAAAGAGCGCTCTCATGTTCCAACCGCAACTTTATATTGAGGACGGATGCCATCCATACCCCGCAGTGCAGTCGAATGGTTCGCTCAACGCCGGACTTGAGTATGAACTATTTCGTGATCCTACATGCGAAGGATCTCCTTTGGGATCACAGGTGTACTCACGGTCAAGTTGGTACCAAATGAAGTGGGCTACCATATACACTTGGTATTTTCCAGTGGCCTATGATCATGCTTCTCCATTTTCCACAGGTCACCGTCACTACTGGTTGTGGGCCATTGTATGGACAACTGATCCAAACCCGGCCGAAGGGCATTTTCTAGCTGTGTCCATGTCTGGGAATTTTGGAATCTCATCATATACGTTGCCACATATAAAGCATCTTGTCAATGGCACAACCGTCTTGCTTAAGTCTCATAAGAGTTTGATGAGCGCAAGACTGGCCCTTGATTTGACTGAAAAAAGTGGTGAGAAAGAAGATCTCATCACTTGGGAAGAGCTTACTCCGGAGGCACGAGCGGCTCTGTCATCTGTTAAACGAACTGAAGCGACGGCTAATTCACCGCTACAGGATAACAAATTCTTTTCACTATTGGAAAAGGCGTATCCGTGGTAAACAAACTAAGTTCTAACGGTGTAGCTACTGGTAAAAAATGTATATGCTCTCCCATTGTTTTGTTCACGTGTTTGACAGTCAACGCTAAGACACTTCCTGACTTTATCCTTTTTGCTCTACGTATGCAACCATGCTGTGGTGTATAGGATGTTCAGATGCCTAGATAGTGCCTACGTTTTGGTTGTCCATCCGTCGTCATCTTCAGTATGCTTACGGTCTCCTATTCGCAAGCTATAGAGCTATCTCAGTGTTTGAGAATTCGAACAAAAGAGCTTATTGTAAAATATGTATAGAAAACATTGGCAATTTCTTATGAATACCATTTTTATGATAATAGCGTCAGATTGTCACGCACTGTGGGCATGAAGCGGCGACAACAAAACAAAGAGCTTTGCTTTCTGGTTTGTCTCAAAATGGTGACATCTCGAGCAAACAGTTTAACAGAAAGACACAGTGTACAAAATCACGCTGAATGTTTTGGCTTTACATTCCCACTATAATTAAAAGTTGGCTTGCATGCAAAGATGTTACTCTACGATTCGGAATCCATCAAAAACGACTAGTTCCCGCGGCGATAAGCGATGGCATACGGAAAGCAATGAAGTCTAGTGACAAAACAGTTGAAGCTGATTGTAGTATTTCAAATGCTTACTTCTATTTTATGAAGAAATAAAGATCTCACAAGAAATCCAATCTAATGTAGTTGTAGACGCGACTTTATGTAAATGCAGAATACTCAGCGTTTCTAATATACCAGAGATTGTTGACATTTGCACTATTAAAGCCTGCAGTAAAGCAATGTTTACCACAAGTAGGCCTTTTTCAATATATCAAAGTACTGTCTGTCCTGTAACGGTGGGTTGGCAGTCACTTCAGTCCGAAAGAGTGACGATAAAGACGTTCGTGCCTCTGGAGTAAGCTGGTCCCACGTGACGAGATTCTGGGTTCCCCCGCTCTTTTTAGTTAATTCTAGACCCTGTCGTGTGCTAAAAAATCCCTCGTGCGACTTGAGTAGGACAGTAGTCTCATTAAATACATACTTACTTTTTGGTCGCAATTGCTTCGTAATTCCGTGATCACCGGACATTGATACACCAAGAAACGTCGATTCGTCCGGATCGGGACCACTTGTCCAGACAATTGCCCATAACCAGTAATGCCGGTGGCCCCTGACAAATGTGCTGACAGAATCGAGAGCCATTGGAAAATACCAAACATACATAACGGCCCACTTGTCCTCATACCAGCTTGAACGCGCGTAGACCTGCGATCCCAAAGGAGAACCTTCGCAGGGATGGCGGTTGAATCGACTCCATTCGAATCCGGCGCTAACTGCGCCATCCGACTGCACCGCAGGATATGGGTGACATCCATCCGTGATAAGAAGGCGTGGCTTATATTTCAGCGCAGTGGTCTGAGAGTCATTACAAGGTTTAGACTCTGGAAATGGCTGGACATTGTCTGCATCGATTGAGTGAACAGGAACTATATTTGCCTTCGGGTCGAATGGGTCTATAAAGTCTGAGCCAGGGCCACTAGCATCTGGATCCGTTGATAGACCATCGTCTGATTCGAAGAGGTCGGCATCATCATCAGCATCTTCGTCATCAGCGTCTTCGTCAGTCACGTTGGCGTCAGCATGAACCGCTGCTAGGAATGCGATAGCACCAAGCAGAATTATTCGATAACGCATTTAACGCAGCTAACCGAGGTAAGTTGAGATATGTGGCTTCAGTGGAGTATCGTATGCAACTCCTTTACAGAGATTTTTTCACAAGATGAGTACCATGCTCTTTACTTGAGTATAGACGCTCTGCACGAGATGGGATCTGCTGTCTTACCACATATCATATGATACCATCAATTTGAGTCTGGACTACGTTTTGATTAACTTTTTTTTTAATATAAAATATTAATGAGATGCATAAATTATTATGGATATATATGATCTTTCAGCTGTTTGCACTCACGAACCTAGCATCTATCATTAATCAAGATACAACATATTGGTGCTTTATCGAAGTCCGAGAATAATGTGGACGTAAGATATATGCCCTAAGGAATAGGATTGTCGTGCACTTTGCACAGAGGAGGCTTTGGTTCCCAATGTCTTTGTTAACGAGCGCATAAGGTGGAAATTAACGGGGGAGCCTCATAACTAACACTTTAAGGTTATTCTGCTATTTGAAGAGATTCTATTCAAACCATCCAGACTAATAATAGATGTCTACGTTTGACTATATCTCGAATTGATGTTCTCGCAGTCCATGTGTCGCTCTCTTCGGAGTTTCGACATTATAGATACATCATTTCAATGCCTACCAATATTTTCAATCACACAAAGCGTAAAATGCATTTTCAATTTTATTTACTAAATTGTATTTTGTACAAGTGTATCAAATGCGGAAGGGGTAATTAGACATTGCATCCGCCACGATAATCGGCTTAATTGTCTATTGAAGATCGAACTATGCGCAAACTCTTTTAAGATCCAGAAACTTTTAAGTTTTTTTATGCAACTAAGATGTGCACCAAACAAGAGTTCACACAAAGTTAATCAGACACAGCGCAAAAGTGACCACTCTACAGTCTGCACTTGCCGTACTTGCTCTTTTGAGCCTACTGAGAAAAATTCCACTTCTGTGCACCAAACCAAATCGATAAACGAGCCCACACTACAAATGCGGTTTTCGTGACCGTCGCACTTCAAAAAAATTCGGTGATGGGGTACGCGGTGTTTTGGGATGAGAACGGTCCCAGTGGCTCGATTCATGCAAACATTTCAATTTCTAGCTTAAGATGCCACTTCCAAACCGATCCGCCCTCATCAGTAATACACGATTCGGCCGAAATAAAAGAAGGAGGCGCTTACTGTGCTCAGAGAGACTGGAATCTAGGTGCCGCCGGACTCAGACTTAATTCGCGTGTTTGGCCGAGAGAGACACCAAGCCCCATTCGTCTTATAGCCTTTTACACCTACTTCGGCAAAGCGATCAGCCGCTTAGACCGTCGTCTCTTGTTTGACTTGCAAAAACAAAGAACAGCCTAAACTTCGAGGTGACCGCCCATCCAATATCAATTTCTCTGTTTGCAATTCACTCGCCTTCATGAGATAGCTGTAACAGCTACCGGCCAATGGTCTTATACACTGCCAGGTCGGTCGCAACCCATAAATGACAAGTGCGCTGCGATGGGCTAATCTGCCTTTTTCTCAAAATAAATAGAAATTGAGGGTACGCGCGGCCACGGCACCAGTGCAATTTTGCCAGATTTTAGCACGAATTTCACACTGAAGGTAATCCTTCGCTAGTTTATTTTCTTCAGGGGCAAAAATATCATGTTTCAATCGCGCAAAAAATACAGCCATCTCACGACGCGGTCGTTAGATTGACGACAAGTGCTACAAAGTGCAACAGGGTTACCGCGCACTTTGAACAGAGGACTTTTCTACTCTCAGAGTCCACGTGAACAAACGCAGAGAAACTGAGTTTGAGGATCCTACTAGGGACAAAACCGAGAGTCTTTGGGGCAGCTAACTCTGTCAGTAAGATGTTTCATCACACATCGACAAATATTCACGAGAAAATCAATTTGGACTAATACTTGATGTACACGCTTTTGCTAGCACTTTCCATGTATAACTACCAACATTTCGTCACAGTCACACAATAGCGCAATGTATGTTATGTGCCAATTCAACCAAATGTGTAAAGGTTAGGTATACAGAATTATGGTAATAATTTCGTTGTATCGTGACACCAATCCTCCGCGCGCTAATCTGCGCGAACTTGTGAAGCCAAAGCTTTTTTTTTGTGGGTATTCCAGGCGACCAAGTCTGAGACAAACTATTTTACTTGCGATGACGAAACATGAATTGCTAGAATTGTGCTCGCCAAGACAAATAGACAAGCCCACGCTCAATAGTTATTTGTCTGTATTGGGTCCCAGTCAACTCAGAGAAATGCTGGCCAAAGTGCCGGAAGCGGTAATCGCTCGCCTAAAAGCGCTCATTAACCTTCAAATTCGCTGGTGCAGCACAAATCGGGGTTGATCAAACCAGAACTCGGGAGTGGAGTAGATGGTTTATAATAGGAGAACGCTTGGATTTTGTGACGAAATGGTGAGAATCCATACTTTGGTATCGGGGAATGTGAGATGGCCATGCATTCAGCCATGCTGCGAACGAAGTTACAGCGCATCGCGCTCGCGATCCTATTGCTTGCAGTTCGCGTGCACGATTAGGCACCAACATACTGCTCCTCGGTTATTGTGGCCATGGGATATTTGTGAAGCGACAATGACGTGGGGTCCGCACCATGTATCAAATGCGCTCGGATTGTTCTCTTTCTGCCATCAGAAGAGAAAACTGGCAAAACGATATGCCATTTATGGAGAAGATGTCCGTGCGGCTAGCGATAGTGATAATGATAGATGTTTCAAAGTTAAAAGGATATGTTAAAGTTCTATTGATCTTTCAAGGATGAACATTGTCTAATCCTGGACCTAATTTAACATTTGATCTTGCTCTGAGGATGGCGTGCGTGGCCAGAAGCGACAAATCATGGGTATACTACGAGTCAAAGAAGTAAGATATCGCGCGTTTTAGGTGAATCATTAACATCTCAAGCCCAATTCGTCCATATACAGAAGCGGTTTGGCGCAAGCACTAATGGTGTGATAGCTTTTGTGCAAGATATAGAGATGTTCAAGATTGATAAAAGTAGTAATGCTGGGTCTTCAAGCAGAGCTTGAAAGGCAGAAGCGGCAGTTAGCTGATTTTCCGGTGAGACGAAAGCGATCCAGTGTATACCCGGTCTTCAGAATGTAAAAGTGTTGAGACGGAAGAAATAACCGTATGTCGTGGTCCCCAGTTTGCATCTCTGGCGGAGCAACACCGAACAGTAATGTGCTGCTGTCTCCTTTGCCAGAGCGGGTCGAGAGTGGAAGGCGTTTTTCGTTCGAAACAACGAGCGATTTGGCGAGTGAGAATAAGTCTTAACGCCTTCTGTGTAAGAGAGACGAGCGGCAAGTGGTGAAGAAATGCTTATATGAAATTAAGACAGTCATGATTCTGAACAAGTGCCGATATCTATTTAGGATGAGCCAATAAATGATTTGGTCGGCTGCTCTTTGTTCACAATCTTGACCTGTTCAAAATGTACTATATTTTACCTCTGAAATGTAGCGCTTATACATTGAAATACTTGAGGAGTGGTTGTAAGAGCCACATGAAATGTGTAGCACACCACTGACGTACGATTGTTTGATGACGTAGCTTGACATCATGTGTTGGCTATACGCAAAGCTATTTCGACGACAGCCGTTGCCGGTATTTGTGCAACGCACAAGAAGGTCAATGTCAGCAACCATACCGAGAACTTATGATCAGTGCTTGGTTGGATGCAATTCACGTGCTATTTCGATAGTTGACGATTGTGTATTTGGTATCCCACTCTGTTGCTGCGCTGAGTATCAGGATCTACGGGCAGATCTCGTGTTGAAAAATATCATTGCTTGTTGGCCAGTGCATTTGTCTTATAAAGACCTGAACCTTGCTTTGCACGGCCAGTTTCATGCACAGCTATATTTCAAAGTAAACCGACAAGGCACAACCCACCAATTTACTTCCAAAGCATGCCAAAAGGTATCGCTGCGCGAATGAAGAGATGGAGCGTTTCACTTGCGCCACAAATCTGGTCTTTTTACTTAGTTACAACATTTCACACTTCAGCCTTTGCAAGAGGCTGTGTGATATGCGATACAGATACCGACAGATATGAAAGCGTGATCGTGCTGGAATCCCTCCGGCTTAAAGCTGCAGCGAACCTTATCCATATTAGGGCAAAATGCTACTTGCAATGCAGTATGCTCTCATCAAGATTAGTTTATACATGCTAGGCTTGATGCTGTTTGTAATATTAATCACATGCTCCTGCTCACAGCGTGCAGAGAATGACGAAATGCTTATCAATCCATGCGAAAGGGTACCGTCTCGGTAAAGTATCATCATCGTTGTAATAATACATAGGTCTATGCGCCTTTGCGTCGCCTCGATTACGAATTGTCCCACGAAGCATCAATATAACGTGATGATTCTGGCTTGAGTCGATGTGGCTTTTTTGCTTATAGCTGAGCAAGCTGGACTACCTAATCAATTCCAGTTCACTAATGATGAAGTGGTATTCGTCGTGAGTAACCGGCGTCGCAAAAGTGATGAAGGTGCGGGGCGAAATGAAGCACAGTAAGAGCCTCGACCACGGTAGATTTCTCGGATAATGGCTTTATGATAAAGAGGTGCTGGGTTCGAATTCGGTCAACCGCTGTGACCATTCACCAGAGATTACATCGGCTTCTAAAATGGGTAAAATTTTTAAAGCAACAGTAAATGGACAACGCTCTTTTTTTTGAGCCTCGCTAAACTATAGGAAGATGCTCAAAAGAGTTAATTACGATACGAGCAAGCAGGCACGGAAAATTGCAAAGTTTGGAGTTAATTTCAAAGCGTATCAGTTGCTCGCGAAGCACTCACTTTTATGCACTGACACAAACAGGCAAATGATTTGTAAGCGTCAGTCTGGTCCATATCTGGGTGAGGTGGATGAAACGGGGTAAGTTCTGTACTATTGTGCACGATAATCTCCAACTGTCAGAAAATGTGGGCTCCGATACTGAATACTATTTACAGACTCTACGTTTGTGCATTTGTTTGCGCGAGCTCATTGAGTCTGTGCTTAGTTCGCGTCAACTTCGTTGATCCCTTATCTTCTTAGAAATTACACGCAGATTTATTGCTTGTCAAACCAAGTTTATGGGCAGTTAGTTATGTATCGAAATCTGAGAAAAAAAGCAAAAGACTCGCAAGCTTTCTCGAAAACGGCGTTGCTGTAGTATTTTAATGAGTGAGCGTTGCAGACGCGAGCGCAATGACCGTCGGTTATTAATAATGACGACAAAGACGTCTTTTGTTGGTGAAGTCCAAGCCGGAATGTTCAAATAAGGTTTTCAAGCCCTTAAATTTTTATTTTCGAATGGATTTGTTTAGTCCTAAGCGATTGGTTTAAATTAAAATTTGTGCTGGTAGACTGTGACAAAGAGTCACTTCGGAAGAGCAGAAATATGTATGTCGCGCTCTGACATGCCATTTGAAAAGTTAAAGGTTAATGCAATTGTTTAGGTCCTGATCTGGGAGAAAAGTTCCTGATAGCAATCTGTTCACTTATATAATCTTTGACATAGAAATCTTAAAATGTTAACTGTGTCTTTCATAGAACTTGGACTGATTCTTGATAAGTCGGAAGTATTCATCATTATGCCGTTTTCGCATACTCTGCCTTTGAGCAAAATAAAGCTCAGCGCATGGCCATGTCAGTGCGAGATATAATGAAACTCGATAAGCTCTTGAAGTTATACAGTTAACTATTGACACACAAGTGTGAAAGATTGGTTCACAAGTCAAAGACTTGTCAAGTAGAATATACCTTAGGCTGTGTTATTTGCTATACCGATTTGTGAAAATTACATACATCCACATTGCAACGTAGACCGACATCACGCGCAGATATCGAGATAATGGATCATTAGAAGAGAACTTACTTGCCTGCGTCACAGACACCACTCCTTCGTGTTTTCCTATAGTCATTGCGATTAAATTTTTCTATCTACTGCCCGACATCGCTGATGCGTCGTAGCTTTCATTCATAGCTACTCTTTTGTCGCTTTGTCCTGTACGAACCGTTGTTAATTTTTGAGAGTGACTTTAATTACGTCCTCGCAACATAGCATACTTTACACTGCCGTGGTTCTGCACATAGCCAAACGGAAAGCCTATAAATGCTGAAAGTCGCAGCCTTTATAATATCGCTGTAGCTGATACTCGATGTGCTGCAAACATCCTCTCCCTCTCTTGTTGTAGCCATGAGTGGAGTAACTGTCGCATTTACATACGAAACCAGGATCGACATCGTATTCGAAACTGCGAATTTCTGACGGAAGTGGCATGCAAAGCCACTTAACAGACAAAACTGCGGAAATTAACTTGGAACTACAATGGTGATGGCTAATTTTCGAATGGTCGCATCGATGATACTGAAAGGTGTTAAGATTAGTTGCTTGCGTGCGATATCGGACAAGATAGAGAGATTCACTACAAATGAGTATTACAACTTTCTTTCGTCCGCGCACAGGGCCATAGGTGGGTCGATTTGCGACGGAATTGCCATGCACCTCGCGCAGAGAAAGTTTTGATCACGATGAAGTCTGTGCGCGGAAGTGAGCTTTAAAAACTCCTTTGCTCGAAATTAAATATATCAAATTCAATTCTTAGCTTAAACATGTAGAAAAGCATTCCGCTTATTGCTGACCTTCACACTTTTCAAGCATCTTGTACCAATCATTATACATCAGCATAGTAGTAATTTAATGACAATATTATCAGAGCTCGAAAAAGCTTAGATTTGAATTTTGTAGAAATTCTTTGGAGAAGGCTGTCGAGACAATGACCATCTATGTGTTTTGAAGTGCAGCCATTTAGCTAATGTTTTAATATGACTAAAGAGACTGTATAACTCTTTTTGTGGTTTGGATGAAAAAAGACTCAGAACTCTTAAAATAATTTTGGAAAATGTAACTCACTACTGACTAGCGATAAGCGGTTAACTGATAAATATTTTCACAATTTACAGGCGAGGCCGGAATTGATCATGCGCCATCGTTGAAATGCCAAATGCAGACATGATTCTAGTGCGTCGTCCACTTAATTGTATTTGCGATCTTAATACTCAAATCAAGCTTATAAACCTTCGTCTCCTGAGCTTCTTAAAGAGCATGGTAGGGTGCATTATATTTGGTTAATCAAACTGCTTTGTGACATTCCTGCTGAGCGCAAACCTCTTTCGCGGATCAGTCTCGATGGGCATTGGATAATCATATTTCAGCGTCGTTTCCGCCATCTGTTTTCGTTTTAGCACCCGCATTTTGTCCTGAGCTTCAATTCATCCCTGATGCTGTGCATAATGATGGGCTCGTCCGTTCTCGAAACAGCATATTATCTGTGATCGATCAGAATTAGGTACGCAACTTCTTACGGATGCCGAATATGTGCGTTTTCATTAAAGTTTGTGGATAGGAGCGCAATCCGAAAGATCGGGAATCAGAATCTTTCCCAGCTTTACAGCACCTGGTGCCAACTCGCCGAAATTCGAGAATAAGTACGAAAGTAAACTGCTTCAATCGAATTTCCTACTTTTCATTTCTTCTCTCACCGAATTGATGAGCCCACGTGCCGTTCTTCTCGGAGCAATTGCTATCCTTGTTGCATCCCATGGCTTTGCGAAATGGGCTGACGCTAACGTCTCGAAACACTCAGCAAAGTCACGAACCATTCCCGACCATTACAACTTTGTAAATGTCAACGAAGTGCAGCCATTTAAACAGCGTAAACCAACTACGGATTCTCAGAAATCTGCGATCAAGTACCAACCACGGCTTTACGTATTGGGTGCATGTTATCCATATCCTGCAGTGCAGGCGGATGGATCACTAAGTGAGGGACTTCCCTGGAAAATCTTCTTTCAGTCTCGATGTAATGGATCTCCCCGCGGTTCCCAAATTTACTCGCGATCCGATTGGTACCGAGGCAAGTGGGCCATTATGTACGCGTGGTACCTTCCGAGAGCCCTGGACCAAAACATCTGGGATGTTGACGGCCATAGTCATTTTTGGACCTTTGTCGTTGTCTGGACAGACAGCCCGGATCCGGATGTCTCGACTATTCTCGCTGCATCAACCTCTGGTGTCGGCAACAGAATTAAAAAATATTCACCACTCAAGTCAAAGTATCTTCTTAACCACAAGTCTTTGAAGGTCAAGCTACACGAAAATCATTTTTGGGATAAGACTGGACTCAAGCTGACAGAAAAAGTTGGTGAGTTGCAGACTCTCATAACTTGGGAGCAGCTTACAGATGAGGCTCGAGCAGCGCTATCTTCTGTTCATTACTCTGATTGGCGTATGGAGTCGCCAATTCAAGACAAGTGGTTTCGTCCAATGCTAAGTAGTGCTTATCCATTTTAGGCTGCAGATTTGCAACACTTGTTTCTTAGTCATTAAGTTTATGAATCTAATGGACTAAATCGCGGTAGTAGATATTTTTTTTATCTCTTAAGCTTTGATTCTGCTTTAACATTAGCTAGATCTGATCAAACTGCGGCATTATTTTTCAAATCCAGTACAGAAGTCTAAAAACTTAACGAAAACATTTAGGCACATTTATTAACGGCCTAACGATAAGATTTATACAGCACAACTATAGGGTTTTTAAATCAGTTGGCACGTGGACATGAATGATCCTTGCTGTAAACAATTTTCATTTTACCACTATACTCGCTAGCGTCAAAATATACACGACGAAATTATAATACTTGTGTAAGAGAGTTTATGAAACATCAGCTCTTAAACCCAATAGTTGTTCTGTAAAAAATTTAACGTTAGGCCATTTTGTAAAGTTATTGTAAACTGTATTGGATTTGAGAAACAATGCCGCATTTAATCAGAACGCATCAAAGCGCATTCATTTTACAGAAGCCCATTTTGGTTGTGAATTGATAGGAGATCATGCGCCGCGCTACGATGTTCAAGTCAAGTGTTAAAAGGCGTCGTATTTGCCGTCGTGAGAATAGCAGTTTGAAACTTACTATTGCAAATCTAATTGTATTACTCCTGTCTCCCTGACTGACATCTTCCCAACGTTTAACGCTTATGTCTACGGAACGAAAAACATAATTAGTGAAGTCTGCTACCATTTGACATCGAAGCAAGCTGAACGAATAGTCGCCAGAATACAGAAATGATCCCTACCTCTCAAATCCGTTGCATAATAAAATCGCATTCATTCTAATTTTTGTGCATAAATCAACTCGAAGCCTGCCATTTAGAATACATACAATTACACGCCCAAAGCAATATAAACCATAGATCAATACTTATAAAAGTAGCTTGGACTCTGCTACGATATCCAGGAGGCATTGCTGTAGCAATCTATATAGATAGGAATTTCGATAAAAACAAAAGACTATTGCTTAGGGTTTCGTACTTCAAAGGATACTCTAAGTACGATAGAAAGTTTAATATATTGTTTTTAGATAAGTGGTTGATCTAATGCATTCCTGAGTTCGTGAGTCACGCAATGGTATTGTCATTGACAGTCTATACCTAGCTGAGCGGGTCGATGCCTACAGCCACCATCAGCCGCACCACCATACACAGGGCTTTCCACCACAATGGCGGTTCGTACCAAGTTGGTGTAAAAAAAGGTCATGCTTTCTTTCACGTGCCAATGTTAGAGTAAAACTGTCACATCTTGGGCCTTTAGACATAGCTGTAGCCATGCCTTCACGCCAACGAAACAAAAGTTATTGCGCTACGCTTAGTGGAGTGTTTTAGAAGAAAGAGTTCTTGTGAGATATTATGGATCAGACCAAGTGCTTAATGTGGTTTTAAGCCCTGGGTGTTTTTGGGTATTTTTATCGTCTGAGCTGATACCAGACGAACTGGCAAAAAGCGTGGATACCCCGAATGATTTTTGAAATCAACTTCGATATGAACTTAAATTTTAACGTAGCATAGAAATTACAGAAGTCGCTACAAACCTTAGTATCGTGAGTGTCCTGCATCTTGCCGTGCCTATATCCCTCGTACTATTTCACGCGGCGAAGTTAGCCCGACGTAGTACATCGGCTGCGTTTTACAATAGATCACTTTGTGAGCTGAATGTTGTGAACGTTAAACATTTGTATTTAGCCCGTTTTATTATGGTAATACATGCATATGAAGTATTTGTCAGGACAGACCCCCTTTTTAATGCATAAAGAAAACAGCTCAAGGTCTGAGTTACCTTAGTAGATCTTGGCATCGCGCTAGTTTGGATGACACGAGCCCAGCATCGGTACGTTGTTCACGCAGAATTAAACAGTCAATGCTTTTTCATGCAATGTGCATGACAAACCAATTGCATTTGTGGTCAATCCCACGAACGAGTTAATGAAGGGCAGTATCTCTGCGAAGAGCGAACATTATTGTTCGAGTACGATCCCTCGGGACCAAGAGACCACCTTAACAACCTTTTCTTTGTATAAAACCTCATGCGATCTGGGAGCTGGCGGCAAAAGATCTTCGTCTTACTTGATGACGCTCACAAGCTTTGAAAATGCGCAGGCGAGGCACGTCTACTAGCACCCTAACCAGGCGTCGGTGAACAGACAAATGGTATTCATCGTGAGGTCGCTGATATTGGCCATGGTTTAAAAACAGATGAAATCGACTTTGGGGTCGCTGGAGCTGAGCATTATATGGTCGGGACAGCTAGAATGTTCTTCATTAATTGGAAAGCTGTGATGACCGTGGATTCGTATTTTCTCAGATCGAAGACACGACGCATCCCACTTGCAATCTCAAGGCTAGAATGTCGCGCGCATAATTGAGGACGTGCAAGTCCTTGGTAAAGCATGCGTTTTTAACGTGATCGCACCGCCTGGATCAGGCCTACGGTGGAGCCAAATCTTGTAATGCATGCAATGGTTTATTGTGAATAGGCGTACTCTGCCCAGGTGATATGCATTCTCATCGCTGCCGAAAGGATGCTTAGGTAACTCGACCAGGTGCGACAAACATCAACACTTTTCTGCATCAATCCTACTTCTCTCGAGAAGCGGTGGGCATTGCATTCCATGCAAAGTACTATTTTGGTGCCGTCAGGGTACCTCATGTATGCTGCGGCCACTGTGACCCCACCGTCAAAAGATTACTCCCAGTGTTGTTCGTTACTAATGTCAACGTCTCGTTTTTTGTAAAGGCATGAAAAGACTTGGTAAATTCAATAGTGGTATGCAATTATGTACGACGCGCGACGCCTGAGAACAGGAGAAGTATGCGATGGCATTAAAATTCCGGATACGTATACAGTATTCGTGCGTCTTACCATGGAGACATGTCGTTTGGGTGAACTGTGTGGACTTTGACATAGTGAAACCCTGTCTAGTCCTAAACACGACACACGCGATCTCACTCTATGTAAGGCGTGGCTATATGCCAAGGACTATAAGACGTCGAAAGTAAAAAAAAAAAGTTAGGTAGCACGCACTTCGCTCCTGGTGTTGCGTTGACGATTCACAATATCACCTCTACCAGAACGCAGAATCTTCTTTGGTGCGACCCCAAAGCAACGATAGCTTCCGTGCAATACATGTGAGTGTTTCAAATCAATAGCACTGATGTTGAAAGGTACCTGGAGCAGAGCTCAGAAGGAAAAATCAGCAATAAGCCAAGGTCTTAGGATGTAACAAAAAAGTGCGATTGCATATCGCAGTCATTAAAGTTTATACATTGACCGGAAATTTTCACGAAGGATTGTGGTTATCAGATTGTTACCCTGGTGGAACGGTGAATAACAGCTTCGGGCTATTGTTCCCGATGACAGTGACTGCGAAAAGTGGAAGTGACAGGGTTTTGTCGTCTCCTAAGCAATAGCTATTGGAGTTGATGAGATTCTGTAGGTCGCAAGTACTAGAGCAAGGCCCTGATAATTACACTGATGACTTATTTATGTCTCGATTTAACAGAGCTCTTGAGTCAGCACTACAATACGACACGCCCACCGTGTGGAGCAGTGACTCTCCACGGGTTTGCGTGGTAATCATGAGCTGAGAGCCGAGGTAATTCACGATAGAATGTATCCATTCAATACAGTCGGTGGAATTACTTTTGAGTTGGAGAAATGGTTTTCGCGGAAATGCGCAAGAAATCAAACTACTTAAGAGGGAACCGAGCTCGCCATCCGTCATGGGTGAATCTATCATCAAGGTCACTCACCACAAACTAAGTATGAGGAGTAGGTCAGCAAAATTTATCCTCCCGACGATTATACACGCCTTGTCCACCATTTGCTAAACGTGTACCACGAAGTGTAACTAAAAAAGTTACCACGTGTATTATCTTTGATGAAAGCAGTTTATTGTGCGATGAAAGCACGAACCGGTATGGCGAGGCAAAGTAATTTTTTCTCTCTCCATCTACTTTCTGTTTCAAAGATTTTACGGCAAAATGCAGTCATTCCAGCGCATACTTTTATGAGGGAAGGCTGCATAACAGCACAGCTAACTGCGCTTTGTCCAGTGCCCACGTCATGGTAGACGAAAAGTATCAGATGATGATGTGAGGCAGCGATATCCTTCCCATTGCGAGGGATACTTCGAGCAATTCCGCTCAGAGTACTTTCACAATGAATTAAACTGAATTTTGTTGACATCAAAGACACACTTTTCTTGTTTATATTGGTATTAATTTATATAAAAGAGCACCGATCGCAAGGTTTTAATGTCATTTTAACATTTGCCTTTCCGTGATCTGCACGAATATGTCGTCGAATTAGGTTTGTGTATAGCAATGGTGTAGCCTAACAGCTGATTCATCGGGCGATAGAGTGTGGCTGGTGTATTCGATACTGACCCGTAGCATAACTAGCCACTATCAAAGAATCTCACTTAAAATACGCACCGCATGAAGTAGCTGCCATAAAGCTGAAATGTACTCATCAAATAGGTTGAGAGCAAATGTGAACAGCAGCATGATCTATTAAAGTAATTACATCGCTCCAGAATGTTGACGACATTTTTCTTCGTCTAAATCATTCACAAACCGTCACTGGACGTCAGCCTTTCTGACTCAAAAAGTTGGCGCCGAGTGCGAAGCTGTAAGCTTTCTATTAAACACGGTTTGTGTTTTGCGAGAAAGAAAAGCGCCAATGTCACCATACTATTCCTGGTAAGAGACATTGCTACAGGACTTAATTGTCGAGTCCGGGGGACCAGGTTGATTTCACGGTGCAATTCCCTTTCCACAGGTAGCACATGAGTCGAATCTTCCTTCACCACATCATGTAATTTCGTCAACAATGAATTATAGAGATGCGTAAGCTCCTCGAATCTGCTTTATTGATCGCGCGCAGTGCATTGCAAATATCCTCAAAGACTAAATCATCCATGGAGGATAACAAGGTCAGCTTTTCCTTCGTAACCAGCCGTACTTTTTTGGTGATGGCACCCTCCTGCATTTCCTTACAGAAAATACCTCCAGCTCCATGGGAGCCTCTTTCAGAGGCTGTGAAGGAAAAGGGAGACTTTCTACAAAACTTCGGCCACTACATATATGAGTGTATTTCTCCAGTATCTTCGATCTTGAGTGAACAAAATTCTCTCCTATTATCGGTGGAGCTTTACTGCTTCGCACCTAAGACTTACCCCACTGTAGTTTCGACTCAGTTGTATCATCATATCGTGACAACGTTGAGCAATTCTTACAATCTTTAGCGCCAGGAGCAAGTTAGAGTTAACCTCCACATTGGTAGTCTCTGGAACTAAAGATTGCGATTTCCAGTCACTCAATCTCCTGCATCCCTGGCACGAGATGCAGCTCATAGCTAGAATTACCATCAAGCCAGGTATACATTTTATATAGCACGACATACAACTGTCTTTTACCTTCTCAACTGAGTACCCCTTAAAGACGCAATATATTGCTCTTTTTCGTTTCATCCTGAGACATTGAAACACTGTAATACTTTGAGCCTGAAATAGTGTTTCGATCAATTTTAGACACACTCACGTCCTGCATGCAACTATATTGCTTTGTGCCAGAGCCACAAGCATTTTTTTCTGACAGAGTGTATTCTTGACCCAGCAAAGCCTTATCAGGATATAAGTACATCTTTATTATTTCGACTTCTTGTCGACCCATTACTCGTGGTGTTCCAACCGCGCGTTAACAGCCGAAAATCTTGGACTGTGAGCTACAGATACTTGAGAGTACTGCTTCTTTAAACGCTCAGATTCTGTCCATTACGACCTCTATGAAGCACCACACTACCCACTTCCATTCATCATTTTTCATCAAGCCGCCTCAAGCCTACTGAGGCTTGACAATTTTTAATGAGGGATTTGGCACTTCCCAATGCGCGTGAGTTTGACTCTTCGGATCTCTCAGCTGAAAGGAAAGGGATACGCATGCGCATATATTCGGTATCTCATCACATGCACTTCTGCGCTTTTCGCCTTGCTCAGCAGCAGCTAATGTTTCTTTCTATTACCTCAGCACGACAAAGTTGTATCATCTCTGGTACGCTCGCAGGACTTACATTCACATGCCCTGCCCTCGCGGCCTAAGAATTGCACCCCACATTACATACGACATTTAATGAGTTTTCAAGGTAGTTTGGTGGATGTAATTAGTATCGCTGAAAGCCGCACCTTTGAGGATCCTCCATGGAATAGAGTATTTTATTTCTTTTCGAGAAACAGTCAGACGCCGTCGCAATGATGAGTGCTAATAATGCCTCAGCACAGTCGTACTTCCTGCCTCTGTTGACGGGTAGACAAGAGTCCAGGCGGACATGGTTCGCATCGATAGAAGGCGACAGCTGCAACAATGATAAGGTCGTCATTAAAAAGGCTTTTTATCGAAATACTGCACTGATGTGCCCGTTCTCGCGCGGGACCTCCTCACTGTGAGATTTTAAACTCGACGGAACATAGACAAGCAAGGCTGTATCAATAAGATCCAACATTCTGACCTAGGATTGAGCAAATTTCTGTCACGGGCTTCGAAGGCATGAACTTTCAAAATCGACGGCCTCAATATGGGAACCATCTGTTTCTCCACTGGAGTCCAAACAAGCAAACTTAGATGTTTCTGATTTTCTATTTTAAAACTGCCGAGCGCTCTCAGAACTGCAAATACTGGTTCGGTCATTTGACTGTCAATTGAAAGAGTCAACAAGACCCAAGATAGCCAAAAGCTGATCAAACGGGTCTTTCTGCCACAGATTAGGTACGCAATCATTTCTTGTCCCATCCTCGCCGATGATATGGTTCTTCATGACTGTGTCGTGGGATTGACTCAAATGCTACGAAGTGCGGCGAGTTTACCAAGAAGGCTATGAATTCAGAGTGTGCATAAAAAAAGTTATAAAATAATGCTGTTGGTTTTCTCTGCTTATAGGAGTTCGTATATATGATTTACTTTATCGCGACATTTACTAAATATGTACATTTGACTATCCCTCATACTGGAGTTGTCGTACATTTCGGCTTGCGGAAAGCAGTCTGCGTGTATCCCAGTCTTCAACGTTTCGGAGAATTTTTGATACTTATGAACATTCACAATTACACCAAGTCTTGTGTAGCTTTCGTACGATTGTGCTGGATTGTATAAAAGCGATTTGTGTGATATTGTTAGAAAGTATATGTTGCAGCAATTCTCCTACACGTCCGGTAACACCGATGTTGTGATCTTGACAAATTGTCAGAACATGATGGCTCGTATCGCTGCTATAGCCGACACAATTATCTGTGCAAGTGCGGCTAAGTTGTTCGGCGACGAAAGTTCGCGCCAACATACCTTGCCGGTGGTCACTATTTCGGACTCATTTGAGCGCTTAGTAGTGGGTGTTTAATAACCGTTGTACCGCTGTACCGCTGTTTATGCTAAGATTAGACAACTATACAGCTGACTCACCCAGAATAATGGGCAGACAGAACCTGTGTACAGTGTAATGGATATACCTGTTTAAAACACTTACGCAGTGCCAAAGAAAAAAAACTAAAAGATTTATTTGTACGCTTTTACATTTCATATCCCTAAAGCTTTTATACCGACTTTTACAACGGGCTTTTTCGTGGCCCCATAAATACCCGCGCAATAGTGGTGCCATTCTATTTACAGTGGCTCGATTTGATTCGACTTGGTGATATTTGTTTGACCACACTCTGCAGCTAAATCAAGGATACCACGAAATTTAGCGTAATGCACCAAATACGCGAAGTAATGATAGAGGGTGTGCAAATGCAAAAGCGTTTGCCGGTGACAAAAGGAATGCAAATGAATATGTTGTCAATAAATTAATAAATCAGGCTCAATTTATTACACCTTTTGTAGCCGTCATGAATATGTCGCGAAGCTGCTAAACCATTTCTCACAAAAGTAGCAAATATAAATTAGGTTAGACACACATTTTCAGGAGGCGAACGCAACAAAATGCTTCGTCCTTCGCAAGATTTTTTATGAGCTTGATAGAGCCATTCTGAAATTTGGCCATCATGAGCCATTCGGATGTGATATTCTCTGTGATAATGCAACGATTGAGCAAAATCTTAACCATCTTCAATCGCTTGGCAACCATTTCTTATTGTTACGGCATAATTCTTCGTACGATGGCGAAGCTTGAAGAGCACATACAATACATGGCTCATCAGAGTATCGGTCGTGCACTGGTACCGTCCGATGAGCAAACGGGTAATAAGCGAGCCGGTCTGAATAAGCTTTTATTTTCTCATTTCGCGTGAATCGACGACCACAGACTCGATAAGTCGACCGGTTTTCCGGCGCCGAGCCGAGAGCCGCTCAATTTTCCGGTCCTTCGTTCAATTGCCACAAATCTAGAGGTTTGTACTTTGAGTACTTGCCGGCAAAAATGACATAACCAGTTCAAAATCGCTATAAAAACCTTTTGTTGAAAAGCGTATTTGACGGACCCAGCTTCGTAGCATTACCACCACACTCATTCGTAACGTGCGTTCATAAAAACTGTAGCATTCACAAATTTCTAAAACTGCCAGGCGCCGTTCCTGCTATGTGCTAATTCACCTTTTGGACTAAATTTAGCAACTCTTTCGTTATTTTACTTGCTCCAAGAACTTTTACCAATTAAATGAGAAGCTAGGTTTCAACTATTGTAAGCCGGAACAGGCAGATAAAATATCGTGCTATCATGACTTAGAAGCTTATAATGTCAGGCGCGCCACTTCTATTGTAATATAATTGGTTTTGATCATTCCAGCACACGATGACCGGGCCAGCATTTGCTAGTGCGATGCGCTGTTGCTCAATTCAAAGAAAGGCGAGTACATGACCACTTCAATCTTTCAAGCCTAAGGAGGATTTCACGTGTTTTCTTGTTCTAAAGACCCAGCTCTTAATACTAGCACTTTCGAACTTTACCGCTCCGTAGGAGTCAGTGATGCCTTGCTGATATCAAGAACGGTCTTTCTTGATGGTCTGTCATAACACGATCGCGTGATTTTACAGCGGGCGATATACTAGCCGAAGACCGCCAGCTGTACTAATACTCGAGACAAGCTGAGACAGGGGATCATCAAGATGTCTTACCGATCAAACATAATATTGGTGTTTAATTCATTATTTTCTTTTATTTAAGACGTAAGGTCGATGAGGCCCGCATTAATATTTTTTGCGTGTGTAAGCTCTACCGGCTCACACAGATGAAGCTTTAATTTGTAAAGTCCGCGTTAAAAAACTCATGGAGGATATACTCGAAGGCAGTCCTTAGGACGGTTTATAAAGCTCCTTGAGTAATTAGTACCTAAGACTTGATCAAATTACGATTGTTTCATTTGAATTCCAAAGCCATTGTTATCAATGCCAAATATATACATTCTATACAGCGTTACCCCATATCCAAAATCATCACCTCAATCTACTTTCCTGAGTTAGTTATCCACAGTGCTTCTGAGCTTTGCTATATTTATAATAATGATGATACTATGAACACGTACATTATAACATTTTCTTGCCGAGTAACCTCTTTCGCGATCTATGTCGGCCGCCGAAAGCTTTTGTTGACCCACTTGTATTTTTGTGTGATTTTCTTTGGCAATATCGATCTGGCTAACTTAGTATCATCAAATATACCCAGTTGTGTCCACCAACTTCCAATGTATCGAAAGAGGAAACTGTCAAAGTAACAAGAGAAACAACCTGCGACCTGGTTGCCAATTCCATTAATTCTGACATTGCTTACTCCATGAGCAGTGCCAGCCCATCAGGCCGTTCCGGTCGTCGTCTCAGACCTGTTGTCAGCTTTTAAGAAGTACACGACAATGTCAGCTCGCGATCATTCACAAATTTGTATATCGTTTTGATCCCACGATCAATCGACCAATCGAAAAACTGGGTCACTATTTTAACAAATGTGCAAAAATACGGATTATATGCAAAGAATCGGTCTGGCATACGTGATTAGTCTATGAAGAAGCAAAATCAATTCAATCAATCAATGATTTGACCGATTCATATACCAACGACACCGTCAGCTAATTGTGACCAAAACACAACGAACGATTGGTTTGGTGTGCTTCATGACATTCCCGCCTCGGTGATCATGACGCATCCAGGTGTTTGAAGCACACGATTACGCCTGCAACTGTTGTCTCCATTGGCAATCGATAACGTTGCAAATTAGCTGAATTATTAATTTTTTAATAACAGGAATCAAAATATAAGTTTGCTTATAGCTCTTGTCTACGCTTTTGATGTAAGGCAAACAATACTTTCCTCAGTACTTGCAAACGTGGACTCTCTTAGGCTTATATCTATTTTTGCGAGGTGCACAGCAACTGCAACATTCCTCACTAAATCTTTTCTCGCGATCATGAAACATAAAAACATATTTTAGCGGTGCTTAAAATAGAGCCAAATTTTGCTGGGTCTCATCGAGTGGGACTGCATGCGTACGGTGGCCTTGAAAAGGTAAAAAAAACTTCTTTTACGCATCAGCCTGGTTACAATGAATCTGCCCAATAAATTCCCTCGGACAATGATGTGATTGAGTCCCAGAACGCTATCCAAGAGGCCATTACGAAATGCAATCAGTTTTCATGCCTGACCTTCCAATAATTACCATCAAGTGACTTTTCCATTTTCCACGAATCATGCTAGCTTACATTTTCACTTCATCATTGACTGCGGTCGCACGTTTTCGTGTACAATGTGCTCATCTTTGTGGTCTTATAAGCACGAATAAATCTTCAAAATGCTCATTCTAGTGTCCAAAAATATATTTGGAACGAGAAACCAGAATTTGTTTGCCTTCGGCCGGCCAAGATTTGATTTGGATTGGGATGACGGTATCGATCCGATAATGTTGAGCATGGTACGCACTCTTAGTGGTCAATAAATTGGATTATTGAATTGTGATCAATCATCAATTTTTGAGCTCAAGGTCTTCGGATAACAGTATCCATCCTACCTAAATTGACTTCAAAACGGTGTCAGTCGCAAAACACAAAATGAGCCATATGCCTAATATTACCTTCATTTAATCTCAAAACTGTAGTTGAACTCTTCGTTATCAGTTGCTCAGAGAATGCACACTCGATATATACTAGCTTTAAAGTGCAAATGCCTGCATATTAGCCTCGTTGTACATTTCTAAATCCTCGCTTCTTTAATCACGATTTTTTTTGGTAACAGGCGAAGAAATTGCTTTATGTCAAGTAAATTTCGCAGCAGTGCAACGAGATCTTGCTATTCGTACATTCTTTGACCTGACACGTTATCGCTGAAAATTGCTAATCCTCAGTCATGCATCTATTTGTGCACAGATCTAAACTTTAAAAGCTGCTTGCTTTTACGTAGACCAAGAAGACTTTGATCCTTCAGGTACTACTTGCCGGATTGTTGGTTTGTTTGTAAGAACCGAAGTAAATATATTCAGGCACTTGGTTCGCTACTATTAAGCTTATCCGTCTAGATCATTATAGAAGCTTCTAGAAGCAATCTTATTTATCGATACCAATGAACGAATACCATTATGTCCGTAGTCAATATCCGTGATCATGATAATAACTGTAAACATTACCATAATACTTGTGAAGTCATCCACGCACATTCAGCGATGTATCTCAACACTCCCGATCACCGCTAATTTTAAACATGCTTTCTTTTTGCTTTTTGATGCCTGTCTTTTGACGGAGAGACTTGAGCGTCTGAGTCTCTAGCGCCTTGGTAAGTATGTCCGCAAGCTGATGCTTTGTGTCGACGTAGTCGATTTGGATCGTTCTGCCTTCAACGGTATCTCGCTTAAAGTGATGCTTGATGTCGGCATGCTTACTTCTGGCATAATATCCCGCATTCTGGGTCAGTGCTATTGCCCCTTGGTTGTCCTTCTAGACTTGCGTTGCATGATTTTAATCTTTTCTCATGTCGTTTAAAACCGTGTGCGACCACAAAACTTCCTGGGTTCACAGGCTTAGTGCCATTTACTCGGCTTCAGCTGAACTCAGTGCCACAGTTCTTTGAAATTTCGCCTTGAACACCACCGGTTCATTATTAACTTTGACCATCAAGCCGATACAGATCGTCTGTCATCTATATTGCTTTCCCAGTCTGCGTCCGCGAATGCTTCAGCCATAGTATTGCTGATCCCTCCTTCATATACAATTTCATGCAGGCGCGTTGACTTCAAAGTAGCACACGAATTGCGGCTCGCCAATGCTGTATTTCAGAATTTTTAAATATTGATAGTTGCGTCACTATGTAGGCAATGTCCGGTCTAGTTGTACATAAGACAGCCGATGAGAGAGCGAAATGACTTTGACTGCAGTGCTTCTGCACCTGTTCCTGGTGATTACGTCACCTAGCTCCTTCATTTTGAAAGCACTCTTGAGGGCATTTTTGGCTTCACGGATCTCTGCACATGTCTTGGCTGCAATAATCATATCGTCCACCTAGAGGCAAACGAGAATGTACCCGCTCTTTGAGAGCTTAATATACACGCACTGATCCGCACCACAACTATTAAGGCCATATGAAATGAAGACTCCATATATCGTTCTATTCCAGGCGCTAGCTGCTTGTCTTAACCCGAATATGACCTTAGTCAGCAGACAAACATGATCCCCAGCCGTCTTAACTCCACGCAGTATCTCCATATAGACTCGGTCACTTAGCTCACTATTTTATTAACGCAGTGTTTACATCCAGCTGTTCCATTCCATATCCGTCTGCGACGCATACAGCCAATACAATTCATGCGCCACTTGGGGAGTACGTTTCGAAAAATAATCCACACCGTACTTTTGTTTAAACCCATTTGTTAGAGCTAAAATGGCGTATATAGTGTTTCTACGTGTCTTCCTGATCCATCAAAAGCATACATGTCATTTTACCGCTCACGGAATTTGTAAGATGCCATAGTCTATGAGGCAAAAAACAGGATGGATGCAGTTGCGAAACGAACTGATGTGCTTTTGTTGTCAAACTATGACTTTCGCAGTAAAGGTTGTAATGGCACTTTGCTTCCTCAAGCTGTATCGCGATTGAAATACGCAAATTGAGCAAGTTTATGCTCTTGCAATTCTTTTTGTAGAAATCGCCGCATTGCAAAGATCCTTCCTAATCCCCACAACATTTTTTTACCGACAACTGATAAAAGTGAAGTAAAATCACTTGGATGACAATGAGTGTGTTATTGATTGCATTTTTACGTTTTGATTTTCTTAACAAAAAACGAACGATTATTGAGCTCAAATTTAATGTCTTTATTGGTGTATAAAAGCTGAGTCCTCTTCATCAAGACAATAATGTTGATCTTAAACTTACATACTCACATACACACAATCTTAGACTCGTCAAGTCAAATTGGCTAGTGACTATTTCATATCGATATTAATTGGGTAGAAAATCCAAAATTTGCTGCAAATTTTCTTCTTTAGTGCAAATTTACAATTATCGTAGTACAGTCGCCACAGAAACTAATTGGTGTCATTAACACTATTTATGCTGTTTCGTTCTTGAGTGTATGCTTTCCAATATTTTATGTGCACGTACATAATAATGATTTAGTCACTTTTTCTTCATTTCCAACATGCGCGTGAGCATTTTCGGCGCCATCTTCGTGACGGGATCGAGTTTTTGCTTTGCGAATAAATTGGGAGCAAAACCACGCAATGACTCGGACACAAACGAACGTGTTCCTCTTGACTCATTGCCACACGAAGCTTACGCAATCTCGAGTAATGCGCTTAGTTATAATGTCACACTTGTGGATAACAAAGCCCATGTTAACAACAAAGCGAATGAAGAAAGAATGCCACAGCATGTCTATGGTGATGTGCTGCAGCGTTTATCGGAAGAGAGACCTAATTTAGCAGCTCATTTGGCGAATGAGTTGAAAAATGCGATTGGCAAGAAAAAGACCATTCACGAACAAGGGTTGCTCGAGAAACTGCTACCACAAGACTGTTACGAAGATCTCAGAACCAAGCTCAATGATATCAAATTCGAAGACATTACTGATCTAGAAATTATCGACGAGTCTCTAAGAACTTGGTTGAACGAAGTTCTATTGTACAGGACTTTGATAAACTCGAAAGAAGAGTCTGAAGTGTTCGATGACAAAGTGGTGCTAGATCTGTTATTGGAAAAACTAGAAGCACAGGTTGATAAACCACTTTCTGAAACACCAGAACATCAGCTTTATTTGCGCCGGCAATTGGTGAAGCTATTTGATAAACTTCGAGACGATCGAGATCTCAATCGTCTCGTAGGGGTTGTACTGCGAATGATGGTATTGGATTCCACCTACAAGTTTTTGGTCTTTCAGGAATGGACAAAAAATTATTATCGTCCGGAAAATATGTTTACATTATTTGTTGGTTTAGATCCTACAGATTTACTCCACAATGAACTGTTTTATGCGTGGCTTAATTACGTCGACTGGTACTGGTATTATGCGGAAGAAAAAAGGATAGATCGATACATCATTTTCATTAACGTTCTGCAGAGGTATATGAAGCAAATCGCGATAGATTTGATGCTTGACAGTAGTTCATTTAACGATGCTTTTCCGCTAAACGCTGGCAATGACTTTCAAAAAGAAATGAAGGATGCTTGGAAGATCAAGCAAGTGGCAAGTTATAATTCGGTTCAAAAGAAATGGAGACGCATCGAAAGAATCTACGGGAAAAGTTACTTACAAAGAATGACAAGCTGCAATGGATACTTCATTACGTCAATACCTACGGGGCTTTTTCTTCATTTGACGACAACGATCTGTATGACTATTTAAAGTCTCGACTGCCATTTGATGATCTGGTGGATATTCTGATGGCACACAGAAATGACAAGGAAGTGAAACAGTTAGTTAAAAATATGCTGATCTCCATGTTTTCTTCTACATCCATGTACAAGCATTCGCGAAGGCCAAAGTCACCGATTCGGAATACTTGAGAAATCTTCTCAAAACAGCTTATGGAATTGATCAGTCATATCCCCTGTTTTGGGTAGCATATCAGTTCTGCAAATATTATATGATAAAGAAGAACTAGGTGCGATGCCGAAAGCGTCTCAAAGATGTTTAAGATTTTGGAAAAAAGCGGTTATCTGACCTCAAATTCGACTCATATGATTAAGCATGGGACGCTTCTTGGACAGATTAGACGCAAGCTTCCATGGAGCAAAAGATGATTTGTTTATCTGGATTTATCATCAGCAAAGTGTTGACTGAAAAATATATTGAATGCTTTTTACTGCCATTTCGTCACTCCAAGAGGTAAAATGGAACACAATAATTTATATCTCATTAACAAGTTTGTTCATGTATTCGTTACTGACCTTGCTAGAAACGGAGAACATCGACAGCACTTGCTAAAGAGCCATTTGCATACTATAACAAGCGCTCATTGAGAAAAAATCTACAGTTTTAATTCAGTTTATTTTAAACATTTTATTGATAATTTAGGCTAATGCTATTTTTCTTCGAAAGACGTTTGTCATACTTGTGTCTTTATTAGGCTGTTGTGCTGAGCGCTGCAGACAAGAGATGAATTATCTCATGTATGTGATTTAAGATCTAGGGTCTAGAAGATCAAATATTTTGCAAAATATTACATTAAATAAACATGTCAAGAGTAAGAATTGCGTCACTAAACGCAAAACGAGTGGGATTATACAATTATGAGCTCATTATATCGGCTAAAATATAGAAAATTCAGTCTCGAAAGTAAAGATGCCATTGCAAAGAGGATGCTTGCCGAGCTGAAACTTTCCAGCCTGCAATAGATAGTGTATTGCTAAAGATAACCTAGCGTGCAATCAGACTTGACTTGAAACACTGCTTGCTTCAGTATGAAGGCTTTCAATTATATCATTTGCATTCGACATTTCCTCGACGTCAGAGCGCAAAGCAAGCTTGTTATATATATTGAGATGATGTGTCTAACGGATGATCACATTCAATTAAACGTCTCAGTTCGAGATTCCCCACAAAGCCGCCAACAAACTCTATTATACATCCGTTGAGGGTTTTAACGGGAGATATTTTATGTCAAGAATGTAATTATGAAAATACTATAATTAAGTGAGAATTTCTTCATCAATTTTAAATATTATGATAAAGGGGGCTAATGTAAACTGTTTGTATCACTGTGAGGATGTGACCTATTGGTCTCTCATAGTAAAATCAAGAGTAAAGAAAGGATACCAGAAGTTCGAAAGATACATGGTGTAGTGAAAGCAAGAACTAGAGCATGAACGACATCAGTGAGAATCTAAGTTATCTAGGGCCGCTAAGAGAAGAGCAAAAAAGTACTTGATCGAGCAGTAACTATTGCGATGCATCATTAACTACACTAGTCTCGCCTAGCCTCGACAAGCCACTATACCTCGTCAACATCCGTTTTCTATCGATTCTACCTTATCCTAACTTTCACCGAGAATTTCACCTCAGCGACTCTTCTGCAAAGTGGTCCATAGTAGCACTTCTCGGCTCATTCTAACATAAAAGTGCTGGGGTAGAAGCTCATATTATACATTTGAACTTCTACTTGACGTCGTCGTGGTACAATTAGGCTTGTTGCAATCTGCTACTATCAGAGGGTCGGATACGTTAACACAACGGGAGACGCTCTTGTTGGGGTTGGGTTTTATGTGTCTCTTTTAAGTACTTATCTTCCCGTAATTAGGAATCTTAAAGTACTGACGGAGTACATTAATCGGGTACTTTGACCGACCAAACTCAAGAGCTGATTTTAAAAGGCATTCCATATATTTCTCAGCGGTGACATTGACCTCGATTAAAGGTTAAATCATGGTTTCAGGAGATAAAGGCATCAACATATCTCGTACTAATTGCTTCCATTCCTTGTCATCTTTAAGTAAAATCAACAGCTTCACCAGCTTATCAAATACGACTCGATATATTAACAATTCTAATAGCTTAAGGTTCTCAAACTGAAAGTTCTTTGTGGATATTGACGTAATGAAGTCACCACGTTAGCTCGCCTTCGTTTGTGACTGACTCAGCTTTTAAATTCCTTTGTATTATGCTCGAGCTGTGAACCGTTATTGACTATGTGTTCATCCACTTTCAATTTCCCAAACATACTATATTTCTTTTGCGTGGACCCCATCGCCATTTTATTGCAGAGAGGCATCTGTAACTTTTTTTGATGTGATCATTTGCTCCATCTCTTTGTTCGTTTCGAATTTACCGACGTATCGAACAAGCCAGGGATCTTTCGCAAAAGTCCAGTATCAGTCGACGAAATCAAGCCACGCCAAAAACAGTGGATTTTCGGAGAAATTATAGGATTTGTACCACCAAAAATGTCAAGCAATTCTTCCGGAAACTTAAGTTTATGTGTCCATTTCCGAAAGACCAAAGGCTTGTTGGTGGAATCCAAAACCATCACTTGCTGTACATTCTCTGTGAAACTTTGGAACTTCAGATCGACTCGAAGTTTATGAAATAGCTTCTCTACTTGTAGATGTGGCTGGCATAGCTCTTTCGCTCAGAGGAAGCTAAGCTAAGTTCGGTGACCTTCGTTGTAGACTAAGAACCAGAAAATGCAATCTGTATTTCTTTGTTTCATTTTGCGGCAAGCTGCCTATATTTAAATATACAGGATTTCCTCGTTAGATATTACAACCTGATCATAACTACTGGCAGTCCAGCCACGTAGTAGCTTCTTGTTCAGGAGTAGCAACACAATCGTGTAGTGACACCATCTTGTGTGACTCGCCCCTTCGTACTGGGTACGTGGATCCCTCTTACGCTCTCACTCCTTAAAATTGTGAATACCCACGATTCATATTTAACTGTCGCCTCGTACGAGGATCACGTGTCTCAGACACCTCCATATCCTTAGGACTTTCTGAGCAAATTCTCAGCTCAATGAGCCCTGTGTCCAAGACACGAAAGACACCCGGCCTCGCAAGCTCTGAGAGCGCTCGCAGGCAGAGCTCTTCTTCGTCATCTGCACGCAGTGCAACTTTGGCCAGCACGTCCGCGGCTGCAAGGGAAGCGCTCCCCAAGCCCTCGGCGACCAA